GGAGTAATGGATCTGTAGTTCTTTGGATTAGCGCTGCGACTACGCTAGGAGTGGCTCTCACATTCTGAGCCACAACGCTGCTGGGTGAGGTTGCCATCGTGACCTGAATGGTGCGTCGCCGCTACGAGTGCCACGAGCATGACAGTCACCGTGGGCGATGGCGCGTCCACAACACTCTGGACAGACAACTGGTCATCGGTAGGGCCCCTACACCTCTTCGCCCCGGCCCTCTTCGCTGCTATATCGCGTTCGGGGCTCAAACGTTTGCTGTGTGACACCCTCCAGAACAACCAATGGGCGAGGGACATCACTAGAGCCACGACGATGCAAGTCCTATGTGATTACCTCTGAGTCTAGGAGCTCCTGCAATCGGTGAACTTGCAGCCATTGCAACTGGATCATTTTGTGTGGAGATGGTCTTCCTCTAGGGCATACTCGGTCTCCTCGACATACCGGGCTTTCTTTGCAGGATCAACCAGGCTCCTAGGAGCCAAAGAGCTTTGGCGTACCAAGGCGCCACCACGGGTAAAGCTCTTTTTCTGGCTCGTCCTACACCGCTGACTTTGGACAACGGATCGTCGCAAGTGGCATGGCCTTCAAGACGACGACGCATGTGCTCTATGTGATCAGGCACCCAAAATAGCGTGCCACTTGTTCCTCATATGCGTCTTCTCCAGACAAGTCTGGCGCACGTTGTTGGAGCCCATACATCTGCTGGCCCTATTGCCGGACAGCGTACAAGAACTCGGTGAGTGGTGGATACAACAGAGGGGTCGGATCGACCTGGCGTCCAGGCCCCTGTTCGACTCGGTGCTGCTCCTTGTCGCCTGGACAATTTGGAAGGAAAGAAATTGTTGAGTCTTTGGTAGAGAGCCATCTTCGATGCTTGATGTTGTCAGGGCAGCGATCAAGGAAGGCGAAGACTGGGCGCTGACGGGCTTCGCGCCTCTGACCGCACTTCATCTGTATTGGTCGCATAATTCTTTGGGCATGTAATCACAAACCTTGGATCTAGTAGTCAGGTAGGACTCTTAGCTGGACGTTGCTTGAGGCCGCTTGCCTAAATCAACGGACCCGCGCTCTGTTGTGTACGGTTTAAATTCTCTTCCTCTTAATGAAAAACGGGTACACGCCCAGTTGCGAAAAAAAACCAAGTGACTTGAACCATTCCAACATGTATGAATTCAATCTATGGCTTCATTTCACTTCAATTGGTTTTATTCAACAATGATTTGATACTTGGCATAGTAGAATGACTCCCCATGACATCATTAGTTCCTTGGAATTCTCAAGTATTCCTTCTTTAGCGTAGCCTTGATCACTCAGCGCTAAGCTATCACTTACCTTCATCTACGCTTAGTCCCTGGAAACATCAACTTAGTATATTCCTTCACCGCCTTATCTTCCCAACTTGAGTCAATCTTAGCTTTGGATCAACAATCAATCCACAGTTGAAATTCATCAATCTTTATGTGACAAAACTTTTCAAAGCCATCTTGTTACCTTTGAACTCATTGAACTCCATCAATCTTTTTGTTACAAAACTCACTAAAGTCATCTTGTTACCATTGAACTCATCCTTTTGACTTTGGCATATCTTCTTTTGTATTATCAAATATTCCACGATATTAAATGCAAGCCCTAACAATGAGACTATGAATGCGCAGACCATGTCTCTTTTCATTCTTGGAACTTGGCTTGTCAATTTTCACTATATCATCTCTCGTGGAATACCAAACCTTTTTGCAACATAATTTAGCCTTAATTTACAATTATGTATTCATGAAGCCACAGATATGTATATGATAAAATCAATAACCTAGCAAGCACTTAGCAAACAAGCAAGTCCTTCAATCGTGGTGTTATTCAAATTTTGTCTTCGCTAATTGAATGAGCATTTCCCATAGAAGTATTGTCGAATTGGTTTAGAACTCCTATTGCCAAAAGACATCATGTCACGTGAGACAAAACAAACACGTTAGGAGTCACTAAGAATTCATAAACTGCAATTCGAAGGTTAATTAGACCATCATAAATCTAATAGTACAATTTTTTTATTAATCTCATAATTTGTAGAGTTTCTTGGTCTCAACCAACATGAGGCTCCTTTTTAACACTCTTGGATATATAGGTATAAGATGATAGATAGATTTAACCGCGGGGCTTGTTAAGTCCCTGTTCGTTTGTCTTATAATCCGTACTTTTTAGTTTATTTTTTTAGCCGAAACAGTATTTTTCTCTCACAACAAATTAGCAGGAATAGTATTTCCGCTTATTTTTCAGCGAAGCGAACGGGCCTTAAGTCATCTGAAAGATGTTATGTCAAACACTCAAACTAGCTGTCACTAATGGTGAGTACGTACGCTGTGTATACGTCACTGACTCACTGCGTGAGACTAACCTCCGAACATTCCCAAAGAGAGAGAGACTAACCTCCGAACTAAAACGAGTGGACACTGTGGAAAAAATAGTAAAGAAGTTTACCCACGTGCCACTGCTGTTGCCGAGTTATTTTTTCGTGTACGAATTACAGAAGAGGCGGCCACGTCTAATAAGTTTTCGACGGCATGCATGCATACGGTTCCACCAATCAGTCGGTAGTGCCGCGTTAAACTGATGAAGCACTTCGCATGTACTTAAATTCGGCTTAATCTATTTTTTTTTATCTAAAATAGTGTTTTTCTCTTAAAAAAATTTTCAGATTCATTTAAATTTATTTAGATTTCTGTAAATTCCTCCAAACGAACACAGCCCGAGAAGAGCGCGACATATCACAGCACAGGTGGTACCTACTGCTCAGACGACCGTCGTCTGCTAGCCCAACTGCCCAAGCGATGCATGGGAGCAAACGCAGACAAAGTCCAGCACAAGCCTCCAGCAGCATGCGAAACCTGCCGGAGAGACGCGGGCAAGCTTCCCGAGTCTGGCAGGGGCCAGGCACACAGCAGCACGTATACGTCGCGACGCGCGGACACGACAATCGACAAGGGGGCGTAGTAAGTAGGAGACCTCCGGCCCAGGACGCCCGATGCATCGGCAGTCGACAGCACTGCAGCGACAACGACGTTCTGGCATATGTAGGCCGCGTAAACAACCCAAATGTGGCATCAGATCGTGGGCTAATCACGTGTACTGGTAGAATTCGGATTTCGAAAGCTGATTCACATACGTTTTTAGATGCTGTTTGGACGGACCCACACACCCGTACTAGTAGCGAGAGTAAAAAAGTGCATTGTGGCTTGTGAATCTGTAAGGATTACAAATTTCTTAGTAAGGTGGGACCTAACTAAAGGGTGCTAGTTTGGTAAACTTTACTCCAATATTTATAAGTTTAGCTGGCTTTTAGATGAGAACCATCTGAAATAATATTAAATGGTAACAAACTCATCTCTATCCTTAAGGCTTGTTCAATTCAATCCCAATCGAAGTGAATTAGAGGGGATCATAGGAGATGAGAGGGATTTTAACTTTACAGGGGATCAAATCCTTCAATCCCCTCCTTCGATCCACTTGGATTCGGGATGAAATGAACAGGAACTTATCAGAGTTTGATTCCCTTAACACCAATTCCTATTCTAGCTTCAAAAGCACCTCCTCAAACTTCCGCTTTTATATATGGTAAAGGCGCAATCATCCCCCTCTCTCTCTCTCTCTCTCTCTCTCTCTCTCTCTCTCTCTCTCTCCCTCCTGCGCACTTCTCTTGGAACCATGTTGGAGCTGCCTTAATAGATGAAGGTTATTGTGGCTTAAGGCCTCTCTAGAGAGGCTTATTGTGGCTTCAGCTTCTGTACTATAGTGTTGCTGTAGCATAACCAAGAGGTGACCCATCAAATTGGCTTCATCAGCTTATCTTCCTTTCACCGAAGCAAGAACAGTACTTGATGCTTGCATCCCGGTTCTCTGCACATTGCAGTGCGATCGATCCTGTATGGCGTCGTGCATGGTATCGGGCTATCGGCCGGCCGGCGATGGAGCCACACGAGCCCACAACCACAACGCATGCACGCAGCTTTATGAACAGTGCGCTGTGCACAAACATAGGATGTATGCCATGCACGTTTCGATCTGTCCCAATTATTGGCGCCCTGGCTCGACAAACGTAGGTGCGTGCGTGCCAAGTTTTCCTCCGCCTTGTCGCTCTCTCTTGCACGTATCAGAGTAGAGCTAAGAGCGCAGCATGACTAGTACATGGCACTACAAAAGTGGCCGAGGTCTAGTCAGATGATTCCTCTGCGATTTGTCCCTTGCGCGTTGCGTTGTAAATGGACTGCTACGTGTTACCTAGGCCACGTTTAGTTCATCCAAATTCCAGAATTTGGCACTATGTAAAAAAAAGATTCTCCGTCACATCAAACTTGCGGTACATGTATGGAGTACTAAATGTTGACGAAATCAAAAACTAATTACACAGTTTAGTTGTACTTTGCGAGACGAACGTTTTGAGCCTAATTAGTCAACGATTGGACAATTAGTACCAAATAAAAACAAAACGCTACAGTGCCACAACAGTTCCGCGAATTTAGGCGGCGCCAAATCTGGGGCCGAACTAAACGCGGCCCTAGCCTTTCTTCTTTCTTTCGGCATTTTGGCGCTTTGTCCCCGTCCAAGCGTCAACCACCGTCTTCCTCCATCCAGCTCGCCGCGGGCGGCATCATATCACCTCACCGGCGCACCCGGCCGGTCAAGTCGTTTGGCTGGCCCTGACCCAAAGAAACACGCGAAATCGCAGGGGAAAACGTCCGAAACGACACAGCTGGCAGCTTTCGCAAACTTTTGCCGCCCAGGCCAACCAGCAGCCGCCACGCACCACACGTCAATTTCTTTTTCACCCTCGCCGACACGTCTCGGCTCTCGCACACAGACGGCCAAACCACTCCACTCCGACGTCCGAGTCGGCTAGCTCCAATCCGGCGCGAGCATAAAAGCACCCCCCAGCTCACTCTTCTGGCAGCCAAGCGCACACAGACACACTGTTCTCTGTTCGTTCTCAGACCTTAGCCATGGAGATGGTCCTGGACTGGCGCTCGCTGGGCTCCCTGCTGGCGACCGTGGTGGTGTTCCGCACCGCGCTGCGCGACTTCCTGCCGCCGGAGGCGCAGACGCTCCTGCGGCGCTTCATCGCGTGGGTGTCCGCCGCGTTCCGCCCGCCTCACAACACCATCCTCATCGACGAGGCGGACGGGCCCACGGGCGGAGCCATCAACGACCTCTACGACTCGGCGCAGCTCTACCTGGGCGCGCGCTGCCTCGCCACTGCGCCCACCGTGCGCCTCCACAAGCCGCGCCAGTCGCCGCGCCCCGTCGCGTCGCTCCCGGACTCGCACACCACCCACGACACCTTCCGCGGGGTCCGCGTCAAGTGGACCTCCACCGCGCGCACCGTCGACCGCGGAGGCGGCTCATACGGTCACCCGTACAACATGTTCGGCGGCCGCGGCGGCGGCCATGGCGGCGACCAGCGCGGGCTCGAGCTCCAGTTCCCGCGCCAGCACCGGGACCTCATCCACGACCACTACATCCCGCACCTCATCGACGAGGCCACCCGGATGCGCCTCAAGTCGCGGGAGCGCCGGCTCTACACCAACCGCGCCACGGGGCCCGGCGACTTGGACCACCACCGCCTCTGGACGTCGCACGCCTTCTCGCACCCGTCCACGTTCGACACGCTCGCGCTCGACCCGGCGCTCCGCGAGGAGATCTGCGCCGACCTGCTGCGCTTCGCCGCGCGCCGGGACCACTACGCGCGCGTCGGGCGCGCATGGAAGCGTGGGTACTTGCTCCACGGCCCGCCCGGCACGGGCAAGACCAGCCTCGTCGCCGCCATCGCCAACCTGCTCGACTTCGACGTCTACGACCTGGAGCTCACCACGGTGCCCACCAACTCCCACCTCCGCCGCCTGCTCGTCTCCACCACGCCCAAGTCCATCGTCGTCGTCGAGGACATCGACTGCTCCCTCGACCTCTCCGACCGCAACAAGAAGAAAAAGAAGGGCGGTGTTGGCGGCGGGAGCAACGTCGGCGGCGCCGACAACGTCGAAGACGCCGCGGCGCAGCTCGCCCTGATGTCGGTGTCGCCGGCCGCCGCCGCGTCAATGGCGGTAATGGGGCGGGAATCCATAAGCCTTTCCGGGGGTGCTCAACTTCGTGGACGGCCTCTGGTCGTCCTGCGTCGGCGAGCGCCTGATGGTGTTCACGACCAACCACCCGGAGCGCCTGGACCGGGCGCTGCTCCGCCCGGGCCGCATGGACAAAAAAGATTGAGCTCGGCTACTGCACGCCACCCGCGCTGCGCGTGCTCGCCAAGAACTACCTCGGCGTCGGCGACGAGGGCTGTGAGGACCCCGACACGGTGAACGCCCTCATGGCCGAGGCCGAGAGCCTGCTCGCCGCCGCCGAGGTACAAATCACGCCCGCCGACATCGCCGAGGTGTTCATGGGCTGCGACGGCGATGGCGCCGCCTGCGCGCTGAGGAAACTCATGGGCGAATTACGGCGAAGGCGGGATGCTGCCGCAGCCACGGCCGTAGCACCGGGCGAGGAGACGACGGAGTGAAACCAGCCAGCCAGATCCTACGTGGCGCGCAACCATGCATGGCTGCCTAGTCAGCTTCCATTACTTTGACGGTGGTTTGTTTATGAGTCGTGACGGTGCAACGCGACGTGTGCCGGGACGTACGTGTCGGTGTCGTGTGTATGGTCAGGATTAAGGGGCTGGTCTCTTTTTCTTCCTCTCTCTCATTTATTTTTCTTCTTTCCTATCTCTTCTTCTTCCCCACTTTTTCTATATTTTTATTGATGCACCAGTTATACAAGGCTGCCCCCCCTAATCCACCCCTGTGTACGGTGTTTGCTTTTTTTTCCTTTTTGTGTTGAAGTATACGTATGGAGCCTGGATTTAGGCAAATAATGGACGCTGATTACTACCCGCACAATAATACATTTTACATGACAGAGCTCGTCCATTGCAGAGCTTCTCAATGTCCCACTTATCTGGCTGTAAGTTGTGGTTCACAACAAAAGTCTCATACTCTTTGGGTAAAGAAGCAAAAATCAAATGAATTAGGAACTCATCTTTAAGCTCCAAGTCCATCGGCTTGAGTTTAGATGTCGTGTTCCTCATCTTCAATATGTGCTCTCTAACCCCGTCACCAAAATATTTCTTATTGACTAACTTCTCAATAAGAGTGCTTGCATAAGCCTTTGAAGAGCCAGTAAACTGACTCTTCACCTTCTTGAGATACTCAGTGGTGGTGGTACATTCTGGAATTTATCCCCTTATTCGATCCTCAATGGAGCCCTTAATCACCATCAAACACTTACGGTTTGAACTATTCCACTTCGCACGATCAAGATCGTACTTCATTCTCACCTCTGCATGGTCACGCTACCGAGTAGTGAAAGCTGCATCAGTCTCATTTGCTTTTCTCACCGGGTCCACTGGTTCAGTGGGACACGGAGAGATAAGTGCTAGATTATTGTTAGAGAGCGCAAGAGCTATCTCAAGCTTCTCTCGCCATGCGTTGTAGTTGCTCCCATTGAGAGGCGGAATGGACGAGACAAACGTCATTGGGTTGTAGCCTGAAAACAACGTCAGAGAAAGTGAGAAACATTTAACATAATAATTGCATGTTGTAATTTAATGTTGGTCAAAATTAAAACATGTAATATTCTTCTACACTAATTCTACATTATCGTTGGGCATAAATAGAACTAATCCATAAAACTCATAAATAAAAATTATAATAATGCTATCATCAACTTTGTTCAGAAAATAACAATATTATAAATATAATATTTTTCTACATTAATTCTATAACACTGTTGGGCAGAAATTGAATTAATGTATGAAAAAACAACTCATGAATAAACTTTTAATATTGTTATCATCAACGTTGGTCAGAAAATAACAATACCATAATTTAACTTAAACAAAAAATGCCTACTCCTCTAATTATAACTTCCCCGTTGATCCAATTTAATTAGAGAATTAACATAATCATACCAGCGGAAACATGAAAAAAAATTATCTACTTATCATAAACATTTTACTGTACTCATATACTCTCTGGTAAAATTATTCCATTGTTTCAAATTTTTATAGAGATTTAAAACTTTAAATTTGACTAAAATTCATATAAAATTGCTTCTGAAAATAATAAAACTAAATACAAGACAATTATTGTGCATTTATGCCCGAAGGGCCAGCTTGCGCAGCGACCCACGGCTACTCCCGCGTGGCCCAGCGGCTCACGTGGCGCTGCCCGCGCTCCCCGCGCTCAGGGCGTAACCTGGGCTTGGGCTAGGATTTGCCAATCCCGCCTAGGCCGAATCGAGCCCAGCCGCCGCCAGCCATCCGATCGAGATCGACGGCTGGCCTATGTTTTCGACCATCAAAACGCCGACCGCAACCGGCCCTCCCTCTAACCCGAGCTCATTTCTCCCCTCTCCATCTCTCAGCGCGAAGCTGAGTAGCGACGGCCACCCACAGCGCAGCCGGAGGAAGAAGGACGGTGGCGCCACGGTAGGCCCCCTCGCTGGCGCGCGCGTTCACCCGAGGGTGAGCGTGCCGCCATCGAGCGGTCTTGTTGCGGTGCCCTGAGCCCGGTCCTGGGAGGATCCTATGGCAGAACCACCCAAAATAACATACTTATGGAGGCACTTGTCTTCCACTAACACTAAGCACCCCGAGAGCGAGCTACATCGGGCGGGTTCGTCGAGCACACCCCACGGGAGAGCTCGAAAGATCCACATTTCCCCCAAGGATCCAATAATGAGAACGAGTTACAAACTTAGTCCATTTCATACATCCAGAGTTCTTAAAAATTGTATTATTACATTACCAAAGTCAGAGTATAAAATATTAAACAGCGGAATGAAAATAAACATCAAATAAATATCTATCGATAATAAGCAAGGATCCGTCTGTGCCCACCAGAAGAATCCTTCACACAACGGCTACGTCTCAAGCAGTACCTGGAACAGGGGTAAATAAACCCTAAGTACATAATGTACTCGCAAGACTTATCCGACTAGTGAAAATAATTTCCCTACTCTAAGAGATATGATAAGCTTTATGATTTGCTGGTTTCCTTTTTGCAGAAAGCAATACTAATAGTGAATCCTTATTTATGTTATTATTAGCAGTAATGATTCATTCATTACCTAGCCATTCTATGTAAGCACATGTTCTACTTTCAAGCAAGAGTTGAGTAAACAATTCCATTTCATCACCTTTTATCTTTAAGTTCTTATTACGATGCTAGAGTTAAGACAAGTCGTACCGACATGGCGGCGATTCACGAATCAATGTGCCCAGCTAGTTACCCCGAAATACATGCTCCGCTTGTACCCTAGACACAAGCAGGACTAACTCACCCGTCTCCTACCAAGAGGTCTAGGTCACCGTCCAAAGTTGGACTCCAAGCCCCCGCTCCTGAGTCTCGGACTCAGTACGGTGCTTAGACCTCCACCATCCCCGCCTCCAATCAATCAGTCTGGAAAGAGCCGAAACTCACGACAAGAGAGCAACAGGCCTTCCCTGCGCCCATACCCAAGTATGTGTCCGGGATAATAAATCTGTGACTTGCCAAGCGTCAATTGCAATGGCCGGTCCTTCACTCACACAGATAGGGAAAAAGTATAACCAAGCTATGCCCCGTTAGCCGCAGGACACAACCTCTTATACCCACCAATATCCAAACCATATCCCTACCTGATCTCCTTTTTTCTTTCCACCATTTTACCATGAGTGATAATAATCACCTATTGTGAGTAACGACAAGTTACCCACGCTATCGAAATCCTGAGCATAGCAGCTACTCGACCTATACTAGTAGGACTCATAGGTAAGTAAATTTATGCATGTAGTTTTCATGAAATGCCTGTAACATAAATGCACATCATATATATATATATTCAATGATCATTCAAAAATAGGGGTTATGCACCGGGGCTTACCTTAGGCAGACGGTGTGTCAACAAAGTCAGCAACGAACGGCTCTAGGGCTCCCTCCTGTACGAGAATCTCCTCCTCGTACTCCTCACTAATCTCCTTATAGTCCTGTTCGTTCGCAAGGACAAACTCTACCAACTCGTTATCTACATACATGAAATGATGATGCAACACTTAGTAATACGGCAACAGCAACTCTTAAAATATGAATACACCTATTAAGCTACTAAGCTTGTTCTACCGACTAAGGTGCTAAGTTACCTATTGTGACCACTAGCAAGTATGAAACATGGCATTTACTATCTTAGCAACTAAATGTATTCTTACTCTTAATACTGATTTACTATATATAAACTAAAATAAGGAGTATTAGCTACCCTATATATTAGTCTACTCAAGGGCTACAAAAATTACAGTGAGCACATAATAATCTAATGAACCTACTGTAAAATTTCATGGCTAAAGCTATCACCGATTTGCTATAAAAATTTCTACAAATATTAAGCTAATAATACTAAGCTTTATAAATTGAATTTATGAATATATAATTATCACAACTAACTGTAAACTATCTGCACCAACTGATAGATAGTATTTTTGTGAACCTAACAAATTTTGTTTCACTATTTTTGGATACCCGTAGATTTTACTACAATTTTACAAAGATCAGCTCAAAACTAAATTGAATAAATATTTATTAATTCACTGGAAAAAAGGAAAACTACATCCACCGCGCGGCCCACTCCCGTGCATCGCACGCGCGCGTGACCCACCAGCGCGGCCCGCGTGGACGCGGCCCAGCCGCGCGACGACGGACCGCGACTGGGAGGCCCGCGCACGCCGATCATCTTGCGAAAATGTCCTCGGCCTTCCCAGTAATAGCGTGAGCACAAAGCGCACTATTCCTTCAGTCTGTGATTACGCAAAACAGCCCCTGCAACAACCAGTCTTCACATCGGGGAGGTCCTTGACCTGGCCGCGCATGCCGGCGCGGTGGCCGGTGGCACCGACGACCCCGCCGGGCACCCGGGACCCACCCTGCCCTATCTAAGGAGCCGATACCTACCTAGGCGCGAACGCAAAACACTAGGCGATGAAAATGTGAGCCTGGACGCTGTAGTAAAGCCGAACCACGGCGGCGGAGCTCCTGCAATAAAGCGGTGGCCTTCCGGTGAATTACAACAACGCCGGAGTAATTAGGGTAGCGAGTGAGCTCTAGGCACTCACCATGGACCCAGTCGAGGTGGTAGTTCGGTCGGAGGCGGCCCGAGCCAAACTGGCCGCGTGCGCACGGACGGTGTGGTGGTGCACCACGGTGGCAAGACCGCGTTAGGGGCGTCTAGAGGGTGGCAGCAACTTAGCAAGGGTGCGCCGGGTGATGGGTAGGTGGAGGCAAAGCTGGCGGTGCAACGGAACGAATACGAGCAGCTTTGGAGTGGGGCCTTACCGTCGACGCGTGCCAAGATGGTCTTAACGACCCGGCGGAAAGAAAGCTCTAAATTGGAGCATGGCACAGCAAGGATCACTGCACGATGGGGTCGGATGGCTGGCTGACTACATCGCGAAGCCGTGGATAGGGTTAATTGGACCGAGGTGACTCC